GACACAGCCACCGCCGTCCGCCGCTGCTGCGCACTTCCGCTTCCGGTCTCAGGACAGCCGGAAGCGGAAGTAGCCGGGGTTCCGACTCTCAGGCAGTGGTGGGAAGGTTAACTCCTTCTTCATCCAACCTCGGAGGAGAAATTTTAGTTTCCTTCCAAGTGGGGGTGAGCTTAGGCTCTGGGGTGGGGTCGGACCAGACCAGGAGTGTGGGGTTAGGGGCGGGGTGTACGCCAGATGAACTGGTCTAAAGACCGGGCTTAAGCTGGATGGGCGGGGATTGAGGAGAGGCGTGGCCTCGCTGGCACATTGGGATGCTCAATGTTTTGTTTTTTGTTGAAGTGTAGTAGGTATACAGTATTATGTTTCAGGTGTACAGCAGAGTGAATAAGTTATACATATATATATTCTTTTTCGGATTCTTTTCCATTATAGGTTATTATAAGATATTGAATATAGTTCCCTATGCTACACAGTAGGTCCTTGTTTATCTCGTTTATGTACAGTAGTGTGTGTATGTTAATCCTGAACTCCTAACTTATCCCTCCCCCACACTTCCCGTTTAGTAACCATAGTTTGTTTTCTATGTCTGTGAGTCTATTTCTGGTTTGTAAATAAGTTCATTTCTATCCTTTTTTTTTAGATTCCACATATAAGTGATATCATATGGTATTCTTCTTTCTCTTTCTGGCTTACTTCACTTAGAATGGTGATCTCCAGGTTCTACCATGTTGCTGCAAGTGGCATTATTTTATTCTTTTTCGTCACTGAAGAGTATTCCATTGTATAAATATACCAAGTTTCTTTATCCAGTCATCTGTCAGTGAACATTTAAGTTGTTTCCCTGTCTTGGCTATTGTAAATGGTGCTTGTTGCAGCAGTATTTATTATAGGGTAAAAATGGAAGCAGCCTAAGTGTGTTGTTCATCAGTGGGGGGTTGAATAAATAATTCCTTACAGTGCAATATGATGAAGACATTAATACTGAAGTGGCTTGTATTTTAAAATACTTACTCAAAATACATCAGTAGTATGAGTTAATTATACAATATCCTTATTTTTTTCTCCCCTGGCATGTACTTATTCTCAGACTTGCTCTGCACCCACTGTCTCATTTTATTACCTAGAAGTATTTCCATGAAAAGTGTATTTTTCAACAAAGGGAAGAAAATAAGATTTTGTTAGTACTGTGAATGCATTCCTCCTGAATACTAAATGAATTGGCAAGATTAACCCCACTTGAAATGTGAGAAAAATTGAGAGTGAGTGAAATTAATCACCCTGACATAAAATCACTGAGCACAGAGAAAGTATATCTTAAACAATTGCTGGATGGATAAGTAGATGATGGGTGAATGGATGGGGGGATGATGAATGGGTAGGTGGGGGGATGAATAAATGTGAAGACCAAGTTCCTACCTCCCATTTTTATGTACTTGTTACAAAGTTAAGCTTATTAACTTAATGAGAATCCTTAGACCTGAATTTTCAAGTGCAATAAGAACATACTAATAGATTTACGGTGATATGTAAAGGAACTAGTTAATATCTCTATAGAATTTGCTTCAGTCTTCATACCCCAAAGATGTAGACCTTCTTCTATACCTCAGTCCTGCTTCATAAACCCAACATTTGAAAGTACTTTGAATTTCTTATTCCTTAGTTTTCCCAGAAGGTGGCAGTATGGTGTAAGGACTAAGTACTCTCTAGTTCCAAGTTGGATTCAACCATTATCATCATCAATAAAATAGTATTGATAACTAGGGATTTTATCTGTGCTTTTCCATAATCCAAGTATAGCATTTCTTTTTTCCAGGCATAAATGTATGTTTAAATTTTTACAATAAACAAAAACATACTTCTAAGTGAAGGTTTTCACGTATTTCCAAATAAGATGTTGAACATACCTTATAATGAATTTTATATTTGACCTTTTTTTTTTTTTGGTACAGTTGTGAATATTGAGCTACAGACTCTTTTCTTTAAAAAAAAAAATTCTCCCCTTGAAAGGGCGGGGAGTGATAAATTAGGGGGTTGGGATTAACAGACACATGTTACTATATATAAAATAAACAACAAAGACCTAATGTATAGCACAGGGAATTATATTCAGTTTCTCATAATAACATATTAATGGAAAAGAATCTGGAAAGAAACTATACATGTATGTGTATGTATAAGTGAATCACTTGGCTGCACACCTGAAACTAACATTGTAAATCAACTACACTTTAATTAAAAAAAAATTCTTAAGTTCTCCTTAACATGCACATTTTCTGAGATTGGTCAAGACAGGCACACTAAGGCAGCAACATCCAGGAAGATAATCTCCATTTTTTAATCTTTAGTTTGAAGTCTTAATGTCAAAATAAGATCCTAAAAGAATTCTTTCACAAAAATAAGTCAGCTTTATGCTGTAAAAACATTAGTTCTTTGTCAAAGGTCATGTTCATCTGTCCTCATTTGCTGTCGCCACCTGTCAGCATCATCTGGAAGAGATCAGAGATTTTTTCTTCACAGTGACTCCTACATGCAGCTCGTTAGCTGTCCAGGTATGATTTACAGCCTAAATGTCCAACACTGTCAATCAAACAAGAGCTGCACTGTGGTTTCACGAGCCTGAACATGCTGACCTAGTCCTAGTGTCTTCTACATGACTTGGCAGATCTTGGAGGGACAACACTGGAACTCCTCATCACAGTCCTTTTTGCTTTTGCCACAGGTCTCATAGCACCTGTGACATTGGTTGCAGCACTTTGTTGGGGGAGGGGTGCCAATATTCAGATAAACCCCAGTGAAGGGCCACATCCATCTGGCAAGGAAGGTACATAACCATCACCTGGGGAAGTCTTAGACCCATCACTGCACTTACACTGGCAGAGCTGGTCCTAACCTCCCAGGAGGCCCAAGGTTCTTGTCTATCAATCTGTAGTCTGGGCCTGCTCCTGGCACCTGAAAGCAGAGGTCAGGAGGAGGAAGAGGGGGCACGTGGACCGTGGGAGCAGCCCCACCCAACCGCCCCAGACCCTGTGGGTTCTGGAGCCCCCTGGATGCCCATAGATGTGGGTTCATCACCAGTTGTGGGTTCTGGCCAGCAGAAGTCCCACCGAGATGGAATGATTTACTCAAGACTCTGTGGAAAAGTCAAGAGAGCAAGAGGGAGTCGAGAGAGCGAACTCCACGAGCCTCTCAAATCTCCCATATTTATTGAGTACAGTCAAAGGAGGAATGCAGGAATTTAGGGAAGGACAGGGTGGGATCACAATGAGTACAAAGGCTTTGTTTATGGTTAGTGTTTGGCTCAAGGTCAGAAGACCCTTTTTGGTGAATCATGTTTGTGTTGAGCCTTTCAGCTTATCACAGCAGAACGTATGAGAATCAGCTGCTGAACAGCTTGGACTCAGGTGGCTGTGCCTGTCTTAGGTTGCCCCCTTCAGGGGATCTTACCTGTCTTGGCTAACCAGCCTTCTCACCTCTGAGTCTGCAGCTTTTTGTAAGTTGTTTACCATTCCAGCCCAAGGCTGTTTTGGGGATAGAAGACTAACAACAGGCACACCCAACGTTTATAGTCGGGGGCCTGGGTCACTGCTAAAATCTCAAGGCAGTTGCTAAGTACTTCTTCTTTAAAGAGATAAGCGGCTGGGATGTTACAATTTGTTAACCCAATCATGGGCTCCCACACAGAGACTCAGGCCGCAGCTGGCTCCATGCCCAAATCTCCTTTAGACCCTCACAGTCTTTACTGGGTTCCCATGGGGAGGTAGCTCAATGTACAATATTTCTAAATTTTTTCTCAGAAAAAACACAGAAGGAGCTGGAAACCTTGAATTCTTTTCTCCTGTTTTGGTGACATAACCAAATAAACAAAGGATTGTGTTAGGTGAGGCGTTGGGTGCTCATGATTTGTTGAGGTTGCTACCAGGAGAGAGTGAGGAAAACTGGGTAAGTAGATGAAGGAGTTGGGTAAAGATGTAGGTTCAGCCAGAGTTAAGCATCACCCTGAGTCCACTAGGAACTCTGGAGCATGAGTGAGACCACAGAGTTGCTCTCACTTTGACACCATGGGCTGGCCTTTGGTACCCCCCATCTCAGCCCATCATTGGCTTTCAAGATGCTCCCTGAGGATGAGGGTCACAGCCTCCCAGAGTAGCTTCTGTTTAGTTGAGAGCAATTCTCTGGAGGAAGGGGCAGACATAAGTGATAACAGCCAACTCACAATAGCTGGGGGATAGGTACAAAAAGAAACACCCATTTGTTTTTTGCGGGGAAATACATTCATGAAATTAGCAAATTTTAATTTTCTCCTTTATTTTTTTAATACGTTTTCATGTATTAAAATGTATAGTTCTAAGCAGTAGACCAGTAAATGGGGCCTAGGGCAGGCACTAACAGCATCCCCTATAGAGGTCTACACCAACATTTACATGAATTAACTGTGAGTGACTTAATAATCCTTGAGACTCTAAAGAACTGAGAATCACATGTAAGCTGCTCCTTGGCTTGATCATGTAATAGTGCAATATGGCTTATGGGAAATCATTATTTTGAACACTTACTTTAAAATTTAGAGGATGTAACATTCATATTCTGTGTAGCAACTCTCGAGGCAGTGGGGAAACAGCCAGACAAAGGTTTGAGCCATAGTGGACACTCCTGGTGCTCTGCCTGTATGCCATCCATCACTTTGCCCGTCAGGTTATGTCCCCATGCACCCATTCACTATGGATAATCTCCACGGTACACACTCCAGAGCTTCCCCATGGTATTAGCTGGGGCAACCCCTATCCTCCCTAAAAAAATCATGGACTTCCCAACCCCTGCTCCCCACAACGAACCATGCACATCCCAACAATTACTCTG